CTGTCCCTGATACATGGTATTTACTGTCTGCAGTCAGACTGTCCCTGATACATGGTATCTGCAGTCAGACTGTCCCTGATACATGGTATTTACTGTCTGCAGTCAGTCTGTCCCTGATACATGGTATTTACTGTCTGCAGTCAGACTGTCCCTGATACATGGTATTTACTGTCCCTGATACATGGTATTTACTGTCTGCGGTCAGACTGTCCCTGATACATGGTATTTACTGTCTGCAGTCAGACTGTCCCTGATACATGGTATTTACTGTCTGCAGTCAGTCTGTCCCTGATACATGGTATTTACTGTCTGCAGTCAGTCTGGCCCTGATACATGGTATTTACTGTCTGCGGTCAGTCTGTCCCTGATACATGGTATTTACTGTCTGCGGTCAGACTGTCCCTGATACATGGTATTTACTGTCTGCAGTCAGACTGTCCCTGATACATGGTATTTACTATCTGCAGTCAGACTGTCCCTGATACATGGTATTTACTATCTGCAGTCAGACTGTCCCTGATACATGGTATTTACTGTCTGCAGGTCAGACTGTCCCTGATACATGGTATTTACTGTCTGCAGTCAGACTGTCCCTGATACATGGTATTTACTATCTGCAGTCAGACTGTCCCTGATACATGGTATTTACTGTCTGCAGTCAGACTGTCCCTGATACATGGTATTTACTGTCTGATAGTCTGTCCCTGATACATGGTATTTACTATCTGCAGTCAGACTGTCCCTGATACATGGTATTTACTGTCTGCAGTCAGTCTGTAGCCCATGGATCAGCGCAGCTAAGAGGAATAGGCCTTGACAGAGCCAGGAGGTAGGCATAGCAGCCACAGGAATTTAGTGACAGCTAGCATGCTGGGTAGGGCGGAGCCATAAGGGGAGTATTTATACCAGCCATTATGTGAAGTGGCCATTTTAACTGAATCTAAGCTTACCTGTCAGTTGGGAAAGCTGCCTGCCCTGGAGGGAGAAGGCAGCATGGAGGCAGCATAGCAGAACAGGCAGCATGGAGGCAGCATAGCAGAACAGGCAGCATGGAGAACAGGCAGTACTGAGACAGGAGGCAGCATGGAGATACAGGAGAGGCTGGAATGAGCTGCTACTACATGATCACTCCCATCAGCAGCATGGAGGCAGCATAGAAGAACAGGCAGCATGGAGGCAGCATGAAGAACAGGCAGTACTGAGACAGGAGACAGCATGGAGATACAGGAGAGGCTGGAGTGAGCTGCTACTACATGATCACTCCCATCAGCAGTATGGAGAACAGGCAGTACTGAGACAGGAGACAGCATGGAGGTACAGGAGAGGCTGGAATGAGCTGCTACTACATGATCACTCCCATCAGCAGTATGGATTCGGCACCCAGCCAGGAGGCAAGAGGGTCGGACAGCACCGGGAAGCGGCCGGCGCCGCCGGTGCGCCGTGCCGGTCAGGCGAGGACGGCCGCGAAGCGCGGGCCTGCTGGTAAACGCGCCCCACCCAAGATGGCGGCAGGCAGCACAGGAACCCCAGAGGAGGGCTCCAGCACGGCGGGAATGGCGGCTGGGAGAGCGGAGGAACACGTGGTCGGCAGCACTTCAGTGAGGCGTCCCGGTGAGTCCACTCTGGTCACTGAGGGGCAGGGGGCGGGCGGGACGCGGGATGTTCCAGCGCAGGCGGCCCCCCAGCAACCCAGGGGTGGCCTGGTCAGCGGGACCAGCTCGCGGGCGGCCTTAGGTGTGGCCGGGACGGGCGACAGTGCCAGGCATAGGGAGGAGGGGCGGCAGGAAGACGGCAGGATCGGACAGGGAACGGCAGAGGTTCCAGCGGGCTGCCAGGGGGTGCAAGGGGCATCTGAGCCAGGCGCAGCGGCCAACAGATGGCCAGGTACAGCGGAGAAAGGGGACACACGCAGTACAGCGCGGGATAGGGAAGTCAGGAGCAGTAGCAGTGGAAGGTTGGGCCCCTCAGGCTGCTCTCACGGGGGGCACCGCAGCGGGACCAGGGAGCGGGAGGAGTACAGACGGGAGCGGCGCAGCGGTGGCGCCAGGCCCGGCAGCAGCAGGAGGTCAGCTGATCGGCAGTGGAGCAGGGACAGGAGTCCATCGCATAGCAGGCGCAGTGGTTCCAGGACCAGCTGCAGGGCGGGGAGAAGGAGGTCCGCGTCCAAGGACGGGCGGGGGCGGAGGCGGCGCAGCGCATCTGGGTCATCGGGTGACAGTGCACTAGGACAGCAGCGGGCCCCCAGGAGCAGGGAAGCTAGGCCGGCAAGGCGGTGCGAAGCTTGGAATTGCGGAGAAGAGCGTAGGGAGGAAGGACGGGTAGGGGCCCAGCAGTACAGACTACCCAGGTTGTCTTCTCCTTACAGGTCGCGGAGCGCTACCCCTACGGTCCTGAGGAGGGATCAGGCGGATGGGAGTCGGCGTCAACCGGATGCTCCGGAGCCTGAACGGGTGGACGGAAGGTCGGCAACCCCGGAGCCTGGCACGGCCGGGGTCTCCAACGGTGAGTCCATATCTGCACAACACTCCGGACAGTTATTGGGCTATTTAAAAACACTATTGGAGGCATGGTCAGGGAAGGGGGAATCACCATTACAGTTCGGAAAGGTATGGTCCCCTGACACGGCGGTTAAGGCAATAGGGGCGGGGGTCCAACCGGCGAGCGGAGGCGAGGTAAGCGAAGCGGTAGTGGCGTCCGGTGCGGCGGATGGGGGGGCTGAGTCGGCGGTCGGGTGTGGCGACATTTCGGACGCGGCACGTCAAAACGTACACGTATCTTTTGCGGGCCCCCTAGGTTGTCACCTGAAATTAGAGGTTAAAGAAAAGATTTGGAAGGGGGAGTTCATGGAAAAATTTTCTTTGCTCCCTTTGGAGGAATTCCTAGACTTGAAGGAGGAGGATAAGAAGGACGCCAAGAAGGAGGAAGAAGAAAAAAGGCGGAGGTATCGCAAGATACCGAAGACTTTGGGGAATTGGCTGAGGGCGTTCTGCATCCTGGCTAGTGTGATAGGGAAAAAAAAAAAAAACAAACAAAAAAAAAGGCCAGGGAACTGTGCGCAACTGTTCTGCTACTTGGATGGGATAGGCGATGCGTATCGGACGTATGGGGGCCTAGCGTGGTGGAAATATGATGAGCAGTTTCGGCAACGCTTGGCGGCCAACCCTACCATGCGGTGGGACCAAATGGACCTGCCGCTATGGATGAGGATTATGATGGCGCAGAAGGCTGCGCCCTTTCTCGGGGCAGCTGGGACAGCCTCAGGCGTGGCTGTGCCAGCGGGACAAAAGAAGGGCCTGTGCTGGACGTACAACGAGGGTCACGGTGCCAGCAGATGCTTCAAGAAAGGTAAGCTCAATGCAGGGGGTGGAACCGCAGGGGTGGCGGCCACCTCGGCTGCAACTGGGGGCGTCCCCAGTGAGGTTAGGAGCGATGTTGCCTTGGCTAAGGCAATACGCTAACCAGGAGGATGCAGCGTTCCTGTGGCGGGGTTTTAGGGAGTGCTTCGTGATCCCCTTCACGGTTAAGGAACCAGGGGCGGTTTGTGCCAATCTTAAATCGGTGCAGGAACGCCCGGAGGTAGTGCGGGAAAAGATGGCCAAAGAGGTCCTTTTGGGGAGGATGGCGGGGCCGTTCCCGTATCCTCCTATAGCGGAGTTGCGGATATCCCCACTTGGAGTGGTCCCTACAAAAGAGGCTGGCAAGTTTAGGTTGATTCATCATTTATCGTATCCTAAAGGGTCATCGGTGAATGATGACATCGACGCAGCACTCTGTTCAGTATCTTACACATCATTTGACAGGGCAGTCGAGTTGGTACGGAGAGCTGGGCGGGGAGCGCTGATGGCGAAGGTGGACGTGGAGGCAGCGTTTCGGCTGCTTCCCATACACCCGTCATGTCATCACCCCTTGGGGTGTTGTTTTGAAGGGGGCTTCTTTGTGAATCTGTGCTTGCCGATGGGTTGTTCCATCTCGTGCGCCTATTTCGAGAAGTTTAGCACTTTTCTGGAATGGGTAGTGCGACGGGAATCGGAGGGGGGGCACGGTTGTGCATTACCTGGACGACTTCTTATGTGTCGGCCCTCGAGGCTCAGACCGGTGCAAGCAGATACTACGGGTGTTCCAATGGGTAGCGCAGACGATGGGGGTTCCTTTGGCGGAGGACAAGACCGTGGGACCCGCCACGTGTCTTAGTTTTCTGGGTTTGGAGATTGATTCGGAGATCGGGGAATGTAGATTACCACAGGACAAGTTGCGCAAGCTGAAAGACTTGGTGCACACAATTGGGAGAGCACGGAAGGTGACGCTGAGGGGATTACAGTCTCTGGTAGGGAGCCTGAACTTTGCGTGCAGGGTCATACCCATGGGGAGGGTTTTCTGTAGACGATTGGCGCGGGCGACGAGCGGGATACGGATGCCGTCACACTATATCAGGGTTTCCGCGGACATGAGGGCGGACTTAGAGGTGTGGGATCGTTTTTTGAGGGACTTCAATGGCAAGGCCTTTTTTCGGGAGCAAGTGGTGTCTTCGGAAGCAGTGGGGCTGTTTACGGACACTTCGAGACGCCATGCTTGGAGGATCGATACAGAATCCTATGGCACCGGGCAGAGGGACTGCCTATGTGAACGTTTGAGATATGTGGGACAAGGCGGTTGGTTTCACTGTGGGGGCCCAGTCAAAGGAGGGGCGAAGGGATACCTTGCGGTGGTTCCTAAGCCGTTTGTTTGTTCAGCGTTAGCTCCATCAGCAAGGGTCAGGAGCATGGTGGCATTGTTGTTAGGGTTTAAACTGACTGATTGGGAGGAAGTGACGGAACGTTGTCACGTCCGTCAGGCATCGCGGGTCTTACGGAGAGATATGAAATATGTCGGTGGCGGGTTTCCTTGGGTAACGCAACGCCTGGTGGTGTATTACCCTACTTTTGCAGTGAGTTTGCTTGCGGTGGCCTTTTTGGAGGCTTGGGGCAATTTGGATTGGGGAACTGGTGAGTGCCTTCGGGCAGGTGTTGGGGAGTTCTACACTTGGTTGTCGAACCTTAGTCGGTTAAGGTAACGATTCAGTAGGGTTGTTCAAGAACGAATGTGTCTGGTAAAGGAGGTTTGGTAAAGCTATATTCCCGGCCGGGGTCAGGGGTACGCCCGGTGTTAAGCGCATCATGCTACTTGGAGCTTTGCCCGGACATCCCGGGTGGCTTACTGGTAAAAGGGGACAGATCGGTGCTGTCACGATTCAATTCCCGCAGGTGTTTGACAATGTTGGGTTTGGATCCCGGGCACTTTGGGACCCATTCTTCCCAGGTGATGGCGGTAACAGAGGCACCCCACCTGGTTTTAAGTGAGGACCTAGGGAAACGTTTAGGCAGGTGGGAGTCAGTACGGCTTAAGTCCTGTTTCAGGCCAGTCTATTTGGTTTAATGGCTATGGACGTATGGGTTTGTGTTTGGGGCTATGCCGTGTCGCTAATTACTTTCGTTTCAGGTTTGGTGACATGGTTGGTGGGTCATTCTTATATCTAAGGGGCACAGATGGGAGCCGCGTTTCAGTTCAAACGTAACTGGGCTTTCCTTTGAAATTGGTGGAGCAGGAGTGGTTTTGTTTTTCAGGGATTTTGGTGGCAAGATATTAGGGGAGAAATTTTTCCGGGAGGTAACAAGGGGTACTTTCCAGGACATTCTGGATATTGGCATGGTCCCGGAAAAGGAATTGATCAGGTGGAGGCAGAGGGAGGTGGACCAGCTATGGGAGCTGGCCACGGGTGTGGTGGTGGTGCAGTCCGAGATGGTTCCTTGGTTACATTGGAGACATACTACGTACCCGGCCGTGGTAGCTCGGTGTCGAGGACGACTTAATAAAAAATTGATGGCAGTATTTATCAGAGGTGGGGGCGGTGTAACAGTGAGACACAACGAATTGGGAAGAAAGCTCCCTGGGTACTCCAGGTGGGATGGGGTACATTTTCGGATGTAAGGTGTGATCTGTTTAAATTGGGCCTTCAGGAAGGCATTCAACAGGCCTTATTCCGGTGTGGTGGGGGTCGCTCAGGAGCTTTAGGTGTCAAGTCCTGAGCTGTGGCGGGGAATGGCCTGGTTAAATCGGAGGGTAGATGGAGGAGAAAGTGGGCATCCTGAGGTTTAGTGTGGATTGGGCAGTGTTGCACGTGGTTGGTAGGTTCGAGCCCGTCGGTGGCTCCGAACCTGGGGGTGTGGTGGTGTCTTGGTACACCCTACACTG